ACGACCTTCTTCCAAGGCCAAGGTGCCACAAAGAAAAGCGAGGATCTCCAAGCAGAGTTGCTGGCACTCCGTGTTCGTCTCTGCAGCGGCTAAGAAGTGATGCAACGACTTCACCAGGAATGGCACCATCTGAGCAAAACCGCTGCGACGATGCAGGACGGGCTCTGGGCTGGAAGGCTCTGAACATCCGCGAAGCGGAGAAGGGACCAAGAATACCATGTAATCTTTTTCAGGGGACAAAGCTATGGTCAATCCCTAGTTCGTGGCCCTGCAACGTGAGACAGCCAGGTAGCAAAGCCCTGGAATCCACAGATGTGTTTTTGTTCGAAACCACCATATGCCTGGGTTTACAGAAAGCCCTCTATACTATACATAACAAAGTATAACAAGTTCGAGTTTACTCTTCAAAGTTAGATGCTGCTTCTACTTCAATCTATACTTTAACTTCCATTGAATTTGGACCCTTGAATGCAAAGAAAAAGCCTCTGTGGTTTTTTCAACAACGAACACGGTGGCTTTCTCACCCGCGACCACCGCTTCCTTCGGTGCCTGGTCGCGCGGCAAAGTCAGGCGCGACAAGCCTTGCCGCGCCAGCTGCGAAACACGTGCCAGGAATTGCAACTGATCCTCCCCGGAGCGCCAAACACGGCTCGGGTCAGTTCGGGACATCCATGCGACGGCGAAGAGACGAGTCGACCCGATCGCGTGAGCGAAACGCGAGATCAACGTCCTCAGACCACCTCAAGGGAGCGGAGCTGGTCCTGCGGCGGAACTCGGAGACTCGTGCGGCGAAGTCGGCTGAAGATGTGCCGGGCTCTTGGGGCCAAAGAAGTGTTGTGCAAGATTGACTTCAGAACTGGGGTCGAATGAAACCCCTACACTTAAGAAATCACTGGATAAGGTTGTTTGATTGAAGACGGGTCTCCATGTACACACCCTGCCGGAGCTCTGCCGCGGAATCCGTATTTCGAAGCCCAATGCGGTGACAACGGCGATTGGCTTCAGCCACCCAAGAGCCCTCCTTGGTCATGAGTGACTTCCATGATCTGCCCCCCTTCCCTATCTCACCAGCCGGCAAAAATCATGATGTCTCACACTGGATGGATCAATTCAAAGCGAACTAAAAAAGTGGGATTTCACGAGCAGCAACAAAAGAACCTGCAGTCATGGTCATGCCCACTTTGAATCACCGAACTCGAAGCCGGAGCCGACGGCCGCTGCGCTCGGCGCTCGCCTCTCCCGCTCTCCAACACGTCGCAGCACTTTCAGCGCGAAGCCCGCAGCGGCCATCGGCGCGACGTCGCCCGCCTCGAGCTGCGACGCGGTGGGGCGAGGGTGGGACGACCGGTGGTCGTTTGATGAGCACAAAATGGATGATCCCTCTCTGAAAGCATGGAAAAAGGGATTTTTACAAGAAAAAGGGCCTTTTCAAAGGCCCAAACAGCCAAGAATCGTGGTTGGTCTAAAGTGGGTCACTCAAAGCTCTCTTCGTCAGTCTTGGTTCTCAGGATCGGAACGGCGACACGTGGCGTCGTGTGCCAGGTGCGGCAGTGGCACGGGCGCGCCGTGGAACCGGAGGACAACAGCTCAACAACTTCCAACACTGAAAATGCCTGATCGCGGAGGTGTCCCAACTGTCTACATCAACTACAGCAACTTTAACTTATGGATGATGTGTCCGTTCCTAGCAAAAACACCACGGCCACATTCCTCGAACTCCGAAAAAAAAAGAAAAACACACACACACACAACGAACATGCCCCAAACCAGAAACCACGCCCCGCAGGAAAAAAACAGGCCTCGACCCAGCGAAGCTGGAGCATCATCAGCTTCCCTAGCGAGAACTCGTCTCGCTCCCAATGACTCAGCAGGACTTGCATCAAGGGCGCAGCCAAACTCGACTGGATCTGCGGCGTTGTCGCGGGCGTTGGGCCCGGCGGCGAATGCAGAGGGTGGCCCGAAAGAAGCGCCAGCCCGAGTTTTGAAACGGGAAAGCTATAGCGGGAAGCCAAGCTTTGGAGAACAACGGAAAGCAGAGGAAAGTCGTTGGGACCTTCGTGGAATCCTGGTAATGCGGATAAAACTACACCACCAGGAGTCACAAAGGGGTGCCGAACTTGGAGGTTAGGGGTGCCCAGAACATCCACTCACTTAGGGACCAAACACCACCCAGACATGTTACCCCTGGCAATTGCTCCTGTGCCAAGCTTTGAGTCTCCAACACTAGACCAGCTTCCACCCAGTCCAGGCAGCCGGCGGCCTCCTCGGAGGAGAACCAGGGTGGGGAGGCTTCGTGGCCGTCCAGCTCTGCAGAAGCCAAGAGTTCGAAAGCCTCCAGGTGCAGCACCTCCCTGGAATTCTTCCCCGGCGCCTGCGCAGGCAGCGCAGGGCAGCGCAGGGCAGCGAGAGCGCGTTCGTTGTCCATCGGCCGGTGCGGGAGGAAGTCGACAAGTGTTGGGAACTACTTCCTTAAGGTTGCAAATTGTTCGGGGTGGCTGTGAGGCCGTCGGGAGAACGCTTTGAGTTGGGCCACAGGTGACAAATGACCTGTTGTGCTATGGGAACGGAACCCTTCTTTGATCAAGTGGAGGGATGAATGCATATGAGAAGACGCGTATGAGGGAGAACACACATGAGAGCACAGATATGAGAGAGCATGTGAGACTACACACATGAGGGTAAAGATTGCTGAGGCTGCCACGAAATCTGCACAGCAAAGTTCACAAAGTGCGCCACCTTTCACAAAGCGCTGCGCCTGCCACCAAATCTGCACACCAAGATTCACCTCCCGCAGCTCAACCAGTGTTCACGACCAAAGATCTTCCAAAGACAAGTTCGAGATGCCAAAACGAAGCGCACCTCGCGCGGTCCCACTCTCCGACAATCCACATCTCCAAAGTTCATGTGAAGACCGCCAAGTCCAAAGCACCGATCGCCTGCCACGCACATCGAAATCGCTCCGATCTCCTGCCACGAAAAGCGAACGAGGTTGACCACAAAAACCACGAGGCTTCTCCTGTGCCTGCCACGAGGCTAGTCGCCACGAGGTCCAAAAATGCGCACGGCACCACAACGAGAGCGCAGTCAAGAACCCGACCTCTCAACCACTGTCTTCGTGCGATCTGGAGGCATGACTGTGCAGCGAAACAGCCGCCGGCACAGGTGAGCACGCCCGATCCAACATCCTTGACCCTAAGAACTAAGAACGGTATTCTGGAGACAAAAATGTTCGGACTGGCCGATAATGCTGCTCTTCACATGATGTCAGTGATGTCAGTGATGTCGCATCCAATCAGTATATGCAATTCGTTCCACTGGTCACACCGACCCCATTCTAAGAAAAAGAAACCCAGGGCCAGTATATGCAATGATCCTTTCTTGAACCCTCCGCGTTTTCTCGTAATTGTCCAATCCAAATCCAATCTCACCCCAAAATGCATCGGCTGCAGAGCTCGGAGGTCTCCCACGCGCGCACCGAACCGAACCGAACGTCCCGGCTCGCGCCGGTCGCGGCGCCGCCTCCAGGAGCAGCTCCCGCAGGCGCCTGCGCGCCTCCGAGCGCAGAGACCGCGGCAGCGCCGCGGTGCTGAGCCTCGGGCGCGGTGCCGGTCCAAAGGTCGTAGGGACTATAGCTGCGAAGGAAAGAGGTGGCGCGGTGGTTGGTGGTTGGTGTTTTGCGATGTGGTGTGGTGGTGTGTGGTGGTGTTCACGAAGCTTCGGAAGTTCGAAGCTCGTTCTCTGAACTGCGGGGTTTGTTTGGAAGACTTTCGGTACCCACTTTAAGGGAAGGGTCTCAAGATAAGTTGATCTATGATCTATGAGCATGAGCCTCTCTTCATCTAACTAGTTATATAAGTCTATAGAAAAGAAGGAAAACTCTGATGGTTCTGATGGTATTGGATTTCGGTCCGACCAACACGATTCTTCATGATCACTTCAACCTTCTTAAGCAGCTGTGGGTTGAAACTGTGAGCTCGAGGCAGTTTGGGGCAGCCAACGTGGATTGCCACAGAGTATCTTACAAGTACATCTGCTCACCACCATTCACCACCTTATATCCACTAATTTCCACTGACCATCAGACTTTCACCTCCCAAAATCACTCCAGCAAACTGCAGATCCACAGCTACCCCGCTCGTCCCATGAGGTCAGTCCGCTTCGCAGCTTCGCTCCCACTCTCTCTTCCATCATCTTCCATCCCTTTGCTCACGCTGAGGCGCCTCTTGAGCGCACAGCGCTGTGCCTTCAGGTCGGAGTGGCCGAGCCTTTGCAGCAGCTCCGTCCAGTCACTGGCATGTTTGGCGCCGCAGAGCTGGCACTCCATTGCTGGGGGAAAGGGAAGCAGTTGGCCTGGTAGGCCCTGGGGGGCGTGGTGAGATGGTGTCAGGGTTGCGTTCTGACATCAAGGATCTCTTGGAAAGTAGAGAATCCTGGGGTGGAAATCAAACTGGTAGATGGTCATGGGGTGTGTTGTTTTGGGGCGAAGCTCTGCGACAAGCTTTCACTGGGCTTTCGCACTTTGATCGGAGCCGGCCCTTGAAACTTGCAACGCAATTTGTTCCTATAGTGTCTCTCCGCACTACAGTACTAGGGGCTCCTGGCCTTACTAGCTTGTCCAGGGAACACAACACTTCTCCTCGGGTCCTTGACCCCCATTCCAAAACCCATGCTGTGCCGACCCCTCTTCGGGTCGCTGCGCCATGTTAAAACCTTTGTCAGAAACGAGGCAACATCGGTGAGGGGAGGCCACCCCTGCCCGCTTGAGCTATGAGCACTTTGGCCCACCTGCTGTTTGAGCTCAAGCGAATCCGATCTCGGTGAAGATGTGAATCGGTTCTTTCGATCAGTGAGCCTGGCCACCTTTCGATCAGTGAAGCTTGGCCTTTCGCAAGCATGGCACATGGGGCATGGGGCTTGGCCTTTCAGAAGAAATCCAAGCAAAGTCGGGCCACCCACTCTCGCTCTCCTCCCCTGGTGGTCGAAGACTCTGAGGCCGACACCAGATCAGAGACCGACTTCCTCGGAGGAAAGGGCGGTCGACCTGGTGGGAGACGCAGCCAGACGAGACGAAGCCCACGAAGCCCACGTTCTCTTCGGTCAGTTCGAAGACACACGCGCCAAGCTAATCGTTGGGCAATCTTTGGGTAATCTTGACGGGGTTTGAATCATTAAATCTTTGGATCATCTTTGGGTTTGCTTGGGGCAGAAGTAGAAGTGAAAAAGACCCGACCAATTCAGACACGAAACGCCTCAAGACACGTTCCGTCGCACGCCGCCCCAAAAGGACGGGACTACGCAGGACCTCTGGGAACGCTTTTGGGAGGGAGTCCTGATCATCCCAGGCATCCCAGACGCCTCCTGACTCCAACCCACAAAAAAGTACACACTCGATCACACACAAAACCAAAACAAGAATAATTAATAACATCTCAGTTAAACAAATATCATCTCCCAAGCACGTGCCGAACAAAAACTTCGCAGAAAAAGCAATTCTCGAGGATCCAAAGCATTCCCCCCGACCTGTCAAGAGCAAGAAGAGGAGACAGCCGCAGGACCAGACATCACACTTGGGCCCATAGTCCCTACCTCAGGGCCGAAATTTGGGGCGGTTTTTTCGGTCTGCACGGCGAGATCAAACATGTTGCTCAAGTCCGGCACGGTGGTGGAAGCGGGTTCTCTGAAAATGAGGCGAGTCCGGCATCTTGGGAGATCTCCATGAACTTCTGAACATCGTGAAGGTAAACTATAGTCGCCCCACTCCAATCAACGAAAGAAAAGTGAACAAAAAGATACGTACCTGTTCAAAAAAAGACCAAAACAATATATACACACAAAGAAAGGACAACATTTAAACAATTGAACAGATTTAAACGGCTTGAAACTTCCATTGATGCTTCCAAGTCTGTCCATCTCTCACTCCGATGTCTCACTCCACATGTTCACGCTATAGGTGCCCTCCCCACAGACCTCCAGGTATGCGATACGGGTCCAGGTACCTCCGTACTGAGGTCGGATGGTCGAACCGAGGTGAGATTCCTACGAAAACCATCGAAGGGTGGTTGAACTGGGGCCGAACGCAGCACATCCGAGCCAACGGATGCTGGACCCCCAACTTCTATAGTCGATCTACCAGCAGTCACGTTCGAAAAGGGGTGCTATCCCTCAAGGAAGTCAGGGTGCCCCCGTCACATCACATCCACGGCCCCTGGCTGGGACGAGCCACACCACCCCCGAGCGACATGTGACTGGTATACGTTGGCCCCGGCCGTGTGGCTCCAAAAACGCCAAGACACTCCAGACTTCCGGCGCCAAGAACTCCGGACCCGTCGAGCACGGCAACGCCTCAAACCCCCGGCGGCGCCGCCGAAAGACGCCGTGGCCGTGGGAAGGGGGGGGGGTCGGAGGATCCACCGTTGATGGGAAAATGGGATCGGAACCAGGCGAGAGGCTGAGCTTGGGGAGGAGTGGAAGGTGTGTTAGTGTGAAGAGATGTGAGGAGATGTGAAGAGATGTGAGGAAAAAGCGCGAGGTGATCTCACATGGTTCGTCCATTGACTGCGTGGAGGGTCTCCTGTGTGCACTGGACAAAGGCTGTGTCACGCCTCTGGAGCAAGTTGCGGCGCCGCACTATTCACAGGAGGCCTTGGCACGGATGTTGTGGGCGCTGAGTTCCTTGGGTGCTGAGTTTCTGAAAGCCTTAGATGATGCTGGCAAAAAGGGTGCTGAAAACCTCCCAAAAGAAGGCAAACTTGCGATGGATATCATGTTGAAGCACATCCATGTCCCGGTCATTGGTGTGCTTCCAAGAATGAATATGGCGTTCTTTGCTGCAGAATCGCTGCCACGACATGCATGACATGGATGGTCTAGTAACTAGTAGTCAAAAAGGCCAACACCTCTGCTACAAATCTCCTTGATACATCCTTGCGGACCTCGTGTCCAAGATGTTTCGTCGTGTCCTCGTCGCTTGAACACACCCATGAAGCCGCCCAGTCGCACGAGAGTGACTGGGCGGATGACCAACTCCGATCACTTGTTACTAGTAGCGATGCACCTGTTACTAGTAGCCTGTTACTAGTAGCCTACTTACTAGTAACAGGTGCATTAGCTTACTTGCTACTACTCGTCATGCACTTGTTACTCGTCCAACCCGAAAAGCACTGCTGCTTGCGACTTCCCGCGATGGCAACGCGCCGACCCGGTCCGCGTTTCGTCACTGAGCGCCACTGGCAAGCAACTGGCTGGCAGAGAGCCACCCAGGCCGTGGAGGTCGAACAAGGGCTGGGCAGGCAGTTCAGGTCGTTCGATGGGTAGAAAGTTCCTTTTGGACTCACTTTGAGATAGTCTTCTATAGGCTTCAGTGCGTGACCGAAGCCTTGGTAGTCCCATCCGGCCTCTAGGTCTGTTTGTGACCTTTGACCACCAGGATGTCTCAATTTGGGTCACGAACTGAAGAACCGGGCGATTCATTCTAAGTGAAAACGCCTCAAAACACTGTGTGACTACTTTAGTTCAACTCATGTGATTCAATGTCACTCCCCGTTTTGGCATCACTTCGGACCCTTTGGCCCTGGCCCGATTTCATGCACCTTCTCTCTCGCTGTCTCGCGTTCGCTCGCGCGTGTTGCTGCGACGCGCCAGCGGTGTTTCCGGCGCGGCGAGCGACGATGGCGCGCGCCTGCAAGCCGAAGCACGAGACCCAAGCCTTCAAGCCTGGGAGAACCCGACCGAACTCGTGCAGTTCCGCCGTCGGGACTGGACGGAGTGGACCTGAAACCAGATCCGGACGGCACGAGTCGCAAGGTCCCCGAGATATCGACGTCCAGTCCGACCCTGGAACTTCCACCGAAGGAGTCCAACGTGTCCTTCTTTCGAAGAAAAATCCGAACGACTCGGGTCACCGATAGTCACAAGGCATTTGGAAGGGATCGTCGACTGGATGAAGCCAGGGATAGGATAGAATCTTACCATTAACATCCCCGTTGGTTGGACGGGTGACCCTGGCACCCTAGACTTTATAAGAAATCCCCAGTAAAATCAACACCTGGGGAGTTATAAAATGGGTGGTCCTAGGTTCATCAAGATACGCTGATTCTTTATATAATCCTGTGGCTGAAGCATGCTTGTGGCAGCGTGAAAGGCAATGAATTCCCTGGGGATTCCCCGGGAATGGCAGAACTCTATACTTATAAATTCCCGGCGCTGACGTCACCCAAGTGCAAAAACATCAAAGAATATCAAAGATATATCCAAGCTAAACGCTATAGTATCCTGTTTCTGCTGACAGCCGCAGTCTTTTTCCATCGACTATCGATGTCTTGATCATCTTGATCGTTTGCAGAAAAACCACAGGTTTTCCTTTCGCGCATTGTGATGAGCTTCACTGAGTTCACAGTGTTTTGGGATATCTAAATACCTGTTAGTGCGCTGAGAAGCAGGCCAATTACCCTTTGTCAATTCATACTTGAAACAAATGTTTCAAGGCTTAGTTCAAGGCCATGGATGGGCAAATGACCTTCCAGGCAATGCGCCCTTTCGCGGGCCTACCGCCGGCCTTTCGCAGCCCTTTCGCGAAAATCCGTGTTTCTGTTCGGGAAAAAGGATGTGTCGTGTATTATGCACATTGTGTGTAAGTCTAGGTTGGCACATGTCTATCGCTGTCCCCGGCCTTTCGCGGACTGTAGTTTCCCTTTCGCGACATGTGTGTTTTAACATTTGATCGAAATTCCTTCACTGGCAATAACGGACGGCCCTCATGTGGCTATGAAATCCTGTAAGTGAAAGAGCTGTGAGAAAGACTTAAGTCTTTATAAATTGCTGTAGTTTCACTCTTTATGAAATCCTGCTTTGAAGGCTGATTTTCCATGCAATCTTTATGAAATCCTGTGGATTGAGATAATTGTGGGAGCCAACCGGACAGATCAAAATTTATATAAAACGACCTCCTGCCTCAGGAAAAATAGTGCCCTAACAGACGGGGATCATTAACCCCAAGAACAAGAATCATTATGAGCCCGTCATTAACTCTGTGACTCTTCCGGGATCGAACATTGAAGTCTTCCAACTTCGCCAGGGCACCTCTGGCTTTGTACCTTGGGCCCTCGATTTGAAGCGCGGGAACCCCCCGCTTCACCCCGCGGGAACCCCGCTGGTCTGAACATGGTCTGAACGCATTGGGGTTCGGTCGACGAATCCGAATCTTTCGGTCGAAATGCCATAGGCCACCGTACCTGGAAGTCGTTTCGTCCTCATCCGACCACTGCCAGCGTCGGCCGGTGTTTTTGGGGGTTTTCGTCCGTGTTTTTCTCCGCCGTGGACGGCGGGTCCAGACCCATCTCAGATCGCCACCTCGAGCGCCATCCTCTCTCGAGATCTCTTCCACCAAGACGGCCTCTGGCTGTAAATCCCGGTGCATCACGGGCCTCGGTGGAACGCTGGAGACGACGACTCATCCGTGGCAGTTTCAGCATGAAGGAATCAGATCATGCCATGCAAGATCCATGTCGGATGAATCATCCGAATGTCCCAGAAACCGGAGAATTCGGCGCGTTGGATTTTCAGGTCTACAGATGTCTACCAGCCTTTAGTCAGCTCCTTCGCATGTTTGAGGGACGATCTGTCCCCAACTCTGTCCGTCTGAAGCTGATGTCCAACTCGGGTCCGAGCCCCAGCTGCTGCGCGTGGCAATAGGCACACGCATCCAAGACCTGCGTTCCCCTTTTGGTCGAATCCCAAGTGAAGCGCCAGGGCAAGGGCAGAGCAGGAGGGGGGAAAACTGCGCGGGAGTGAACTCTAACCCTCCTTGCTAGTGAAGGATTTCAGGCAGAATGTGGAGACATGAACTTGCCAGACTTGCAAAAAATCAAAAAGAAGTACCTCCTCCTCCCCTATAGCCCCACACAAAGGGATCAAAAAACACTTGCCCCGTCCAACACCTTTTAGGAGAAACAGATCAACATCGCTTGAAAGCGTTCCGCGACTTGTTTGCAGCATGAGCAAGTAGAATTCGACACACTGCTCGATATGGCTCAAAAGAATGGCTCCATCCTCTCTTCCACCCACCGCGTCGCGCTTCGCCTTCGCACCCATCCCGAGCCAGCGCGCGCCTGGCGGAGGAGACTCGCCACGTGCGCCTGCGGAAGGCGCGGCTGCGGAAGCGGCGGAACATCCGCGGAACATCCGCGGAAGGCGGAAAGATGGAACGAAGGTGGCGCCCTCGCGCGTCGCGGCGCTGGGTTTGTTGGGGTGTCCTGGCTCTTCCAGACCAAGTCATGTGCGATTGATGGTCCAGGCAGATGACCCGGTCAGCAGGTGACCCCGGTGCCGAACTGGTTTTGTCGGTGTCACCCTCCTCTCACGGGCGAGTCGTTTGAGAAGCGGGCGTCGTTTCAAAAGCTGCTGGTAGGTTGATGCGGGTAGTTCAGCCGTTCGATGTTTAGTCGAATATGGTCCACGAGTTACAAATGGGGTGGTGCTTAGTCCCATCCAGTGAGTGGATGTGCACCCCTTGCAACTCGTTTTGTGGACTTTCACCATGGAGGCAGTCGCCGCGCCCGCGTCACATTGCATCACATCCACGCCCCCTGGCAGGATGGAACGAGCCACACCACACCATCCCCCCGTTGCCGGACTTCCTTCGCGAATCGCCTCCGAGACCGTGCTGCCCCGCACGAAGGAGCTCTGCATGAAGTCCATGACCTCCGGGTCGCGTGCGAGCGTTCGCCGCCCCGGTACCCCGGCGGTGCGCGGGTCGGACACGAACTGAGGCACTGAACTGGGATCGTCCAACATAGGTTTCGATTCAACCGTAGGTCGAAGCATCGCATGGTGTGGGTGTCTTTGTCCCCAAATCTCTTACCCATCGCGGGTGTCTTTGTCCCGTGCGCTTCTATGCTGTGGACAATGCCCATGCTCGTAGCTCACATGGGATGTCATTCGCCCAAGTCATCAAGTCATCAAGCCGGAAGATCAAGCAGGCCCCATTTGCGGGCTTTGCGGTGGAACGCCCCGTGGGTTGCAGTGTTCCGACCGCCGGTGAGCGGAACACTTGCGGACATTGAAGGGATTCAAAATGATGTTTAGCTTCCTCAAAAGTGAAGGAGGTTGAAATTGAAGATGCTCGGCACACAGGAGATGTTCACAACACCTCGTAGTTCTTTCCTTTCGACCCCTTAGAAGGGGCACCCACCGCCAGAATCTCCTGGCAGTTACATATAGCGACCTAGAACCTGAGTGACCTCTATTGTGGATCATCAACCAGCAAATAGGGTCTTTTCCTTGCAATGTCTGGGCTCTAGGTACTTACGCTTGCACTGCATCTTACACTTACAATCACTGACACCTGGAAACCCAGCCCCAAAAAGAAACAAATGGATAAAGACGGCTCCACCCCGCGATCCGGAAAAATGTAAAAAACACTCGTCGCGTTCTTCGCGTGGCTTGCGCGTCGTTTCGCGTCGACAATCCGCCTCTAACGAGTCGATGGGTTCCGAAACCACGAAGAAGTTCCGGAAGTCCTGGAAAGCGAATGGGAAACGTCAGTCACCAAGCACAGCCCTACAAATCAGTTGGACCTCATTTTACTCGAGTGGGTCATATCATACCAAAACAGTACGAAAACGAAGGTTTTCAGGGCCTGGTTTTACTCAGCCTGGACTTTGTAGGGACAGGGTGACCAAACTGCTTGAACACGTCAAAACGATGACCTCCGGGTCCAAAACACCGGACCGAGCTCTCGGAAACCGCTGACATGTTGGAGGGCTATGTGCGTGGCCAGGGGCAAAAACGGTGGACCTAGATTGTTGTAGTGTAAAATGCGCTAGGACCATGCTTTGTTCTGGCTTGAGGCTATTAAAGTCAATGGTGGGGCCACATATAATAGGAGCGCGCGCACACAAAAACAAGAATACAACAAATACTGCGCCAGGAAATCTGCACATCCAACTGCACAAAGCACTGCGCCTGCCACGCCATCTGAACATCAAAAGTGCTGCCTCCTCTGCCTCCACACAGAGCGCGCTTCTCCCCTAGAACGGCACTATACATACATACTGAGATGAGATCTTACAAGGTTCTAAAGGTGATAACTGGCGAGTGCGAAACGTTCAGCCTCCACGTCAGCCCGCACGGCGCTTGCGAAGGCGACGCGAGCCGCGATGTGCTGCAAGGTCCATGACCGCGCCCGAACAAGGTTGATGCTAGGTGCTGAGTTAGATGGCTGCGATGCGAAGAAGCAGGCGGCGTCGGACGACCCATCCGCGAATGGACCGCCGGTTACCGTCCTTTCCCCACATGAAGCTTCGGTGCCCTTGGCCTTGAATTTGGGATCAGCCTGAGAACCTTTTCCATCATTGCCTCACTTTTGACCTGGGTTTCCATTGTTCTGACAACTTAAAACCACACCTGAAACATGAAGTCTTTGGCCAGTCCGTATTGCAAGCCGAACTGTCATGATTCTTCTTTCCACAGCGACTGCAATCACTCGATCTGAACAGCTGACACATCTTCTGAAAAACCACACGTTTCGTCTTTGTTTGTCTCGGTGACTGCAACTTCATTCACAAGGCCACAGGGCGTTTCGAAAAAGCACCTAGTTCCACGTAAAGTCTTTGTTGCCTTTCGTACTTAAGTGCGGCTGACTGCAACGAATCGCAAGACTCACTTTCGCCATGCGACAACACATACTGTTTGGCTTCATGAGGAAGGTTCCTAATGAAGAGTAGCGCCAAAGCCGAAGGTCCAACCCTTAGAGCGCTCCTTTCTACTTCAGGTGAAAGCGTTTCGATGAGTCTTTCGAATTTACTGACTGCAACCTGAGCCACGCGCACGAGATCTGACACTACGTGTACGCTTTTGGCATCTATATACACGAAACTCTTTCTTCAACAGCGCAGCTCTCAGACAGATTGCCTCTGTCCGTGTTCGAAGCGAAAATTCCAGCGCTAAGATTCGTAACAGCTCATACCCACGCGACCCATAGGGCTTGGACTGACTATTGTGGACTGCGCAACGCAACCTGCCTCGTACAGCGAATCTATGGGAGGATGCGACGCGAACGCTACTTTTATCTACTTTTAGTAACGCGAACAGCCTCGCTGAACGACCTTGCTCCCCTACCGTAAGGGAAATTGTCACAAGTTCCGGCCTCCACCCAGTGGCCTGTTAATTGCCGTCGCCATTATGTCCGACACAAGTTGCGACCAAGCTCGAAGTGCTTGGATGTAGCTAAAGAATCCTTCAATATCCGCCTCTCCACTCACCCATGTTGACACCTTTGGTTCAGGTGGCTGTGGCAACCACTTCCCCGACTTGCTGAACACATCCCTATCTCCGCTATAGATTCACGAGTTCTACGCGGTTGGTGCTCGTCAATTCTCACGCGTGTTGGGCTCCCTATAGTCATTGAAAATCCGAATAACCAGACTGACCACAACCCCTGTACCTCGAATGCCTTCGACTGCAACTAGTCTTCGCTCTAAGACTGCATGCTGTTCAGAAAACTGAGCTGCTCATCGACTTCTCCACCATATACATCTTGAAAAAGTAGTCGACCCAGCTGGCTTCCCCGTGAAAATGCCTGACAACATTCCGTCCCAATAACATGGAAACTGCACTGGCAAAAAAGTGGGCCTTGATTCGCAATGCCAAAGAAAAACATTTCACATCTCCACTCTGCGTGAGTCTGGAATGGACGATGTTCCAGGCCAGATGGAACAGAGCCCCAGTACAGGCGAACATCATCACTCGGATGAATTTCAAAAGGTAGTCGATCGGGATCTGCCACAGGTGTGGAGGAGGCCGAGCCCATAGAGCCCGTGCCTTGGCCTTGGCCTGCGGATGACGCCCAGCCGCTTGCACTGCTTCGTCTGCTGCTGCTGCGCCCAGAACTCGAGACTTGCCTGCACGGGCCAAACTATCATGGCTAGCTCATAATGAAGCAATTAAGAGGAGGTCCTCACTCTCGCATCATGGCAAAGGTGCAAAAATAATCCATCTGCCTTGGCAGTCAATCTGCTGGATAGCGCAGCACATGTGCTCATACCCGCTGATGACCGAGCCGCTGGGGCCCATTGCCTCCTTCCACTTCTGTCCATCATGGATATGTGGACTGGGCTGCCATCTTCTTTGGGCCAGGGTTCAACATGGACACAACACAACATTGATAACAGAAGGCCAAACTTGCACAAGCTGCCTCAGATCTTTGTATACATCTATAGTATATACATATACATATGTATATCTATATCCTGGAAGCATCGTGAAAGTAAGGATAGAGGGTCATGGAAGCACTTCATCAACCTCTTCGCCTCCCCCATCTCAGCTCCCCAGCCTTGCGTTTGGAAGAAACCTCTGGAAGAGCTCGGGGTCCCAAATGTCCAGTGCCGGGCAGGAATGACGCAAAGCCCAGACAAACGCTTGCCTGGAATGGAGCTAACAGCAGAGTGACCGAAAACTGGAAACAAGCCCTCGAATTGAGCAAAGCTCTGTTAGCCCTTGGTGAGAGCGGTCAGTTATTTATTACTCTTGCACAAAACTCAGCGGATACCGCCCAGTCCGGCCTCTTCCTCCATGGAGGTGTAGGGCAAGCTGGAGCTTTTGCTGCTGCCGCTGTCAGGGGGAAGTGTGGAAAATGTTGTTGGGTACCAGAACTAGATTAGTCGAGGAAGCGTAATCCCTTGTCGGGGAACGCCTTTTGTTGTTGTGGTTCCTGAAGTGTCTGTTGTGGATACACCCCCCTTCATCTAAGTGCACTGTCCGACGACCCCATGTCCGAGACGCCAATGTCCAACACCTCTATGTCTAAAAACCTCCATGTCACTAAAAACAAATCCCATTTATCCCACTTTCTCAAGGGGTAATGTTTGACACCAAAAGAGGACCACCTCTAGCACCACGGAAAGGGTGTCCATTAATGGCTAACCAGTCCTGGCCCGTCTTGTTGAAGGCAAAGCTCCCAGGTCTTTCACATCTCTTCACATCGCTCTCACTCTGCGTTTCTTCCGCAACACCGCGACACGACGCTCTTCTCCTCGAGGCAATCCACCAAGCGAGGCACGTTGGGATGGTTCAGCTCGCTGATGCGGTGCAAGCCTCACCAGGAAGGGGTTTTCCGCAGCCAAATCCCAGGCAAAGTCCAGTCGACATCAGTTGGTCACACACCAGCTGCTTCCGTTCGGGGTTACCTGGCTGGACAACCCACCCTACTTAGGCTGGTCTCCAGGGAAGCGCTAGGTCTATGTTAAAAAAGGTCCAGGTCCTATTACCAGGACCATCCGGCCACTGGGTCACCTGGGTGGACTACCCGACTACCTTGCTCTCCGGGAAGTCGAACACGCCAGGACACCCCGGTCCAGGATGATCCAGGTATATGTTTATCTACGCAACCCGATGCTTTGGGAGTTTCCATGAACACTTCAGTGGAACAAATGGGACCTCCCGTCGTTTGAACCACGGAACCCAGGTTCGGCATGTGGCAGCGGTGTCAATCAAGACCGAGTCAGGTGGTCGATTTTGTGGGTTGGTTCAGTCGTTTTGAACCACCTCTGAGGGTTTATAAGGTTTAGGGTTAGCCTCTTGGTTGTACTAAACGATGCCAAGATCGGTCGTATCCCCTTCCCATCAACCAACCACCGACTTCGATAGCCGTTTTGGGTGAGAAAACGACTTCACCACCGACCGCATTCAACGTGTTCGTGTGTCCTTTAGAGAGAGCGGCTTAGAAGAGAAGACTAACATTTATAGTCTAGTCTATAGCTTGGTGTGGTTGTGTTTCTTGAAACATGTGTTAGTTTGTGGCTTTTGTTGGAATCTGTTTCGAACCATGTTCCAATTCATTCTTTCCATGTGGCCTTCGTTCGTTTCGTCTCAAACCAAAGGTCGACTCTCCCTTCGTGCACCGGCTCCGTTGGATCGGGTCGTTTCGTGGAGTTGAAGCTACCCTCGGATGGATTCGTGGGTACTACCAGGGTGTACTACCAGGATCTACCAGGGTCGAACCGAGCAGGGTCGAACCGAGTCTACACCCATTGCGTAATACGAAGGATTTGTGCACTACACCACCAGGTCGTTCCCATTCTTTGGGTCGAACTGAAGGCTGGGCCAGGTCTTCCTGGACGTCCACCCAGAGATTCGAGCGCCCTTCTGTTTCGCTCCGAAACAGGCGTGTTCGCTCCACTCGCTGGCGCACACGTGTGGTCTAACCGAGGAAAAAGGGAGAATGACATGACATCCGCATGTGATCGCAGACGCGAAAGAGAAACCGGATGTCAGGAGATCATGCCAGGGCCCCTAAGGGGTGTCTAATTATAGCTCCTTAGAGGTTCAGGGCTATCCATTAACCACCCCTTAGGGGGCTCTGGTGTTTGTTATATTTTGTTTGATGCTTTGGCCAAGAGGCGGGCGTGACAAGTTGACAAGTCAGCACACCACTTCCGACCACCTTCCCGCATTCTCCGCTGGGATGCCGCGCTGGTTCGGATGTAGTCCATTGGCACACAAACCTGGAGGCGATCGCACTAGTGCCGTTCTTGGGACGTCCACTCGGCCCACGAGTGGTCTGACCGGTCACGTGTCCGGCTTGCGAACCCAGAAAAACGACCCCCGGTTCGGACAAGACCATGGTTTGGTCGGTGGTCGGTGGTCCCAAAATAGAGATCCACTGGTCCTCTGTAGGTGGCTTTTCCTTCATCGGCCCATGCAACTCATGCTTTGGCTTCCCATTGAGCTCGGACGCTCCGCGTCTGTCCCGCGTCTGTCGTACGAGAGCTCCCAATCTCTCAAAAGAAAGGACGTACGGACGCAAGTCGACCAGCTGTCTTCCCTCATGGGCTCGGATTGTATGTCCGAGACAAAAAAGGAAAGACACTTGGCTCTTGGGCAGAAGGGTCTCTTCTGCTTCTTTTCAACCAAAAGTCCATACCCCCCAAGCTGTCTCCCAAAACAAAACACCAAGAAAGCTGTCTTCCTCGTCCATCGCGACCCGCTTTGCGAGCATGCGCGAGCAGCGTCTGTCAAGCTCCAGGTCAATCCCCGGTGATGTTTGCCAAAGCGACGATAGGTCTTGCACTAGGTCCTACACTAGTCGGATTCCTTTTCTTCGGAGGGGCCATCTCTGAATGGGCCAAGCATGAAACGACCACATTCAGAGATGGCCCTAAGAAAAAGAATCCGACTAGGGCCCTCCTGCACTGCTTGGGGCGATCTATCTCGCTCCCCCATGCTCACTCTCCCGGCCTTGTCCTTGCGGATCTGCCGCACTTCCGCTAAGCTCTGGGACTCAATGTGGCGGCACCGGAAGACCTGGACGGGTGGTGGGCACCAGGCGACGAGGTGTGTGGGTGTTCTCTTCCACCGCAGTGTTCTAACAACACGGGGGTGGCAACTGCTCCCGTGTGGAATTGGGAGCCACCGGAATTCAGCAGTTTGGGGGGAAGGATGAAGATCGATGAATATAGGCGTTTGATCAATGAGAAGCACCTTCATGTTATGCCGAAGGCGCAACACGAAGGCTATTGCCACCTCTTTTTCGGTGCCTCTTTTTTGATACGACTTCTAGTTCGATGTGCCTCTTCCTCGTGTTCGAAACTATGAGAAATTGGTGGTTGCTTTTGGGCCACTTTTTGGAGCTTCTTCCAGGAGCAAGGACGCTACGAACGGGTCTCCTGGCATCGCAACTAGGAAGAAGGACGCAGTAAGGGGCTCCTGGCTTTGCTACGAACGGAGCGATCGGACGCGAACCGAGCGGAGCTTCTTCCACACATCACAGGCCCGAGATCTTCGCCGCACCGGGGTCCGTCTGAGGCGTCGCAGACACCACCCGACACTACCGTGGTCCCGACCCACCACGCCGAACCACCGACCGGAGTGTTGGTCGCTCCTGCCTTGCCAAGGGCAGCTTTGGCCCGGAATTCAAAGCACTCATAGCGATCCTGGCCCAGTGGATGGGAAGCAATTGGAGTGGAACGGAAGCTGGGAGACACTAGAATAAGACATACCCCCTAAGTGCTAGTTTCCATCGGTGCCACGGGTGGTAATTTGGCCCATCACCTGTTCACCTGTCGTGCTCATCTGTTCAGTGGTAAGTCTTCAATGGACTAAAGCTGCTGGCACCTGGTAGAACTGATAAGACAGGTGCCAGCAGGTGCCAGCAGGTGCCAGAATGGTGCCAGCAGCTGGCACAGGTGCCACCTTATACTAAGATGTAAGACATCATCGGCTCTTTCAGATCTGGCCAAAACGCCCTTCGTTCACGAAGCTCAGACGTCTGGCAGGGCTGGCGTCCGCTCCTCCGCGGGCTACAGCGCTACCGATCTGCAGCTACGGCTGTTGGTGCTTTTGTCGGTGTGAGGGGTGGTGGGATGTTCTTGTGTGTGATGTTGATGATTTTAATGATGTTCAATGTCGCAGGAGGGTTGCCTGACTGGGGCCCTGGTCCACGAAATCAGACTTGCCCTGCCTTCAATCTCGGCTCACTCCTCGGCACGCGCCGCATGCTCCTGACCGGCACCGCAACAGGACGGACGGTCAGAAAGTCCAATCGCGAGCCCTTTCCACCATGTCCACCGTACGTGGTGCCTGTGCTCCCGCACGCGGTTCGGAACCGTCTTTGGGGGTTCAGGTGGTTTCCGGTTTGAACCTCCTCTTCTCTTTCTCTGATAGTCGGCCAGACTTGCGAGCGGAATGGTTGCATCTTGCTGCAAGATCGGCACCCGCCCTCCAAAACAGAGAGAATCCCGTTGGAACCACTGGCAGTCTTGCAGACCCTGGACCCTGGATCCTCCAATCCCAGTAGAGAAGCCCCAACCCGACTCCACGGTAGGGACCCACTTGAGGGACCCACTCCGCCGCAGATCTGACTGTTGGAACGCCGAAAGCTGCTGCAGCGGGACCCACCCTCTACCATCCCTCCCAGGTGACGTCCACGTCCAGCCACGTCCAGCCACGTCTCGAAGACCCCAAACAAACGGAGACCTTTAGGCGGTGCTGGGATGGGATTGTCCGGATCTTCCTCGGCCGGGGAACACCGAAGATCACAGCTGAACGCCCCAGTCTTCGCGTGTACCTCGCTGCTCCTTAGGAGCTGCTTCGGTGCAAAACAGTCTCGCAATGAGCCCAAGGTCTGCGCCTGCTCGGTGCTCGGTGTCTTTAGGTCTTTGTAAAGTTGTGATGCTCTGTAAAGAACCATCACAGGGGGTAGTTTTGGCTGAGCCAACCTTTTCTTAGGTAGAATGAGATCAAAGCCCTTGCGTTCAAAAGTGTTGCAAATGCGTGTCGTTCGATATATTTGGAGTCATGTTTTGAACGGCCAAATCCTTGTTAGAAACTTGACATGGTCAAGTGGTTTAATGGGTTTGATGGGTTATACCTTTGATGGGTTAGAATCTTGGGAATGGCACGGGGCAGCTTCTGTCTGCAACCACAACGAGGTTGAAGATCCAATCCAGCCGACCACGGGACGAGGTGGACGATCCTTGTTTCCAAAACATCTCCCTCATTAGTTCACTCCACAAACTCCACAAATGAATCGTTCCATATCTGCTCATAAATCCAAAACAAATAGGTCCATGAAATCTAAGCATCTGGCATCAAATCCAAATCATCGTTGACCATATGTTCACCTAATTCGTCTTGCGCTCCATCTGTCGGACTGTTCCACCGACCCTTGGCGCCTGCACTTCCCGCAGCTGATCCAATGTGACGCCCTCCTGGAAACACCCCCCCCCGGCTATTTCGATGCGATGTTCATAGATCAACTCAAATAATATATGTACCTGGGAAACCACAAACAGAAACAGATGGATGTTTCCCCAAGGAGCAATTTCCTATGTAACGGATTTTATTACCATATTGGAACAACCATTTGGTTCATTTTGTTTCTGGTTGTTTGGGTTTCCAGGTATATGTGTATAATATATATAATTGGTCTTCGCTGGGGTATGGTTCGATGTTCATAGATCATATGTGATCAACCAAAAAGTACCAGGTGGTTGGTACCCTGGCAGGGGAGGGTGCTGGTATACGATGTGTCTTTTCTACTTGTTTCTAATCAACTGTTAGTTTACTTCCCGACTTCCCAAGAACTTCCCATTCGCATCAAACTCTGCCAGATTTTCCACTTGGCTCCTCTGGAGAATAGATGCCAGCTTTTTTCAGCAAGCTCCGCCTCGGAGAGGGGGAGCTTCGACACTGGATGACGCCTCGATGAAGGGAAGTGCATGGTATGTGTAATTATTTGTATTTGCGTATTGAAAAAACAAACACTCTGTGAAATTTGGAAGTGTATGTTCCCTGTGTCACCTGCTAAATAGAAACAAATGGTCACCTTGCTGACCCTTAAGCTGAAGGAGCACCACCTTTCTGCCGGGCCACTCCGCCGGTCACCCCTCGAGGTAACCATCAACCAAGAAAGCCCAGAAACCCACCCCACCCCAGACCCCACACCCCTGAAATAACAACATACAACCAACCCCAACCGTCACTTTTTTCAGGAGCCCCAGGACTCGGACTCTCGGACTCATCGGGCTCATCGGGCTCCGGGTTGGGTTCCCCGGACCACTTGGCCTCGCTAATGGACGTGGAGGACAGCCCCTTCAGCCTCGTGTCGCGCCGCAGGCGAGGCGAGGAAAGCGAGGCGAGGCGGAGGAAGAGATGCTTTCGGGAGATTGTTTGGAAAGAAACATCCCCCTACGAGTCAAAGACCTCATTTACTGGGGATGGTCATACAAAACCAATACTTGAGGAGGTAGGGCAGACCAAGTTTGGACCTGGGTCAGACTGGACGAACGTAGAAACATCCGCCGCGTGCAAACTGACACCAGAACGGTTGGTCCGAGATCCCCCGGCAGCATGGAATGCGCCGTGACCAACGCTTTCACGGCTGCATCACATGGCCTGAGGCGGCCAGCGAGCGCACATCAAGGCCCGGCCGGGGAACGGCAGGACCTTCCGAGCCGCGCAGGGCGGGGGCTTCCGGGCTCAAGGAGTCGGTGGAGTCTCAGCGAAGCCTGGCCCCCCCAAGTGAAGCCCTGGCGGAAGTCTCAGCGAACTCAGCTTCCGACACTTGGCCTTGAGGGAGACCTCCAACTGCTTCCTGGATGAAAACTGCACGGACGCGGCTAACTTGGAGCCGTAAAGGTGAGTCGAGTGGCAAGAGAGATATCCTGAGGTCAAGACTCACTTAGCGTGGAAGTGGAAAGCCCCGCTGTTTGTAAAGGAAGAATTGCTGCCCCCAAAAAGGCCTTTTTCCACTTCTATCGTGAGTTATAGAGAATTTAATTCGATCTCCTGTCTTGCACTTGCATGAGATTCTAACGTCAACCTCCTTCTTCCATCCCCTTCTCCGTCCGTCTCCGTCCGTCTCCGCCGTTCGTTCCAAGTCACATAACACGACTTGAGCGTCTTGGCCACGATGCCCGGGTCGGCCAACAAGACCTGCTGCGACCGGCGGAAGGAGACGACGGCCTGCTGAGGCCTGCGGCCTGCGCAAGCAGCGTGGGCATCGGCGACAAAGAGTTCGGAGCTTTTATTTAAAGAAGTTCTTCTCCAGGTCAAGCAGGTCAAGGGGGGAAACCGATGTTCGGCAAAACCCTGGTGGCCAGCTGAAACTCCCAAAGTTCGATGTTGTCAAGTTGGATGTGAAAGCGAAGGGTTTCTTTTTTGTGAAAGATCACCGGCTGATGGGCGCTTGCAAAGCTTGCAGCTCCGCGTGCTGCACGGAAGATCAGCATGGAGCGTTCTCTCAACGCCTTGACACATCACAAGGGTCAACGTGGCATGGCCTCGAGTTGGGACGACGACGTTCCTTGACCCACCCCGTGCGTGAGAAGGATCCGGTGTCTGTGTCCACTTCACTTCCGTTTCGTGAGTCTGAATGGGGAGGGGATACACCAAGGAGGATCCCTCTACACCTATTTGTGCATGTAAAGTGTGCTTTGGATGTCATGTCTTTTGCTTTTGGACCCAAGATGATGGTCACCAGCCTGGTCATACACCGGCCTTCAGGGAACCCCCCATCTTCCTCCTGTCCTCCGGATCCTTCTCACGCAGCTCCCAACTCAGATGGAACTGCTGGGGGCAGAGGCACCCCAAAGCTCTTCGAAGCTCTGGACACCCCAAAGCTAGATCTTCCAACATCTATCCTATCCCCCCCCCCGCAAGCGATTCCATGGAACCTGAGGTTGGAAAGACGTTGGAAGATCGACGTTCTCCCCCTGAGGTTGATTGCGTTATGCGTCCCAGCGAAGTGGCATGTCCAGGATGACAGTTCGACCCTCCATGATCACGTCGATGGTAAAACCTCTGAAGAGCCCTTGGTTTTAGGCTTGAAACATCGAACAAAGATCCCTGGAGTCCAAAAAGGAAGCCAGGCATGACAGGATGAAGTCTTCTCTATAATTGGTTACTTTCAAAACCCTTCAGAATCATTGAACCAAAAGGTACCTAGAACCTCTCCCCGTCGCTCTCTCCCATACCGTTCCGCTCCTCCGCTCCCGCTCCCGCTCCCGCTCGCTTCGCCTTCAGACGCTCCAGCACCGCCGGCCGTTCGTCGGGCTCGACCTCGAACGGGGCGGCTCCGTTTTCGGTCCGGTGGACCCTTCGGCGAACGGTTCGGGTGGGGTGTGGGGAGGGGAAAAGACCATCCTGGACGGAGTGAACGTGGGGGGGTAGGGCGTTCTGGTTTTGGAACCCTTGGAACCTGGAAGACCTGGGATTTCAGTCGGAGAGAGCAGACGGTTTTGGAAGGGCGGGAACAAGTCTGGTGCAAGAGAGACGTCATACAGATCAGAGAGGACCTTCCTAGCTCAAAGAAGACAGGTGCCGGGCACACTCTGAGGGGTGCATGACAAAGGGAAGTCTGAGTTTGCTCAACGGATCTTTCTGCACCCCACGACGCAAGGACGTTGACTTTGACCAGACTCAGCGGAACGCAGGTCCATGTCGGGGAGGTCCGCAGAGTTCAGAAGTGGGGTCTATCCTGCGCCTCCCTCTTCCAAATTCCGAACCCAAACGTTTCTTTCACCGCTTCACCTCTCCTTTCTCCGGTTCACCGCCGTGGTCCGTGTTCACGGCCGCCCGGTGTGCCTCTTTAGATGGAAGCCGAGAGCTCGAAGCGGCCTCGATCACGTCCGGACGTGGCGCCAGCGACTGCAAGGACGAGACGAGCCGTGCGAAAGGTGGGAGTCGGAGGAGGCATGCTGCTGCTTGGATCCAGGCAAACCTTTTGAAAAGGAAAACATCCAGCCTGGCCTGGCTACATCCAGCCTTCCCTCCCGCCTTCCTTCCTCAGGTCCTTTCCTTTTGGATCCCTTTCACCCAAAAATCGGAACACCTTCCCAGGCTTCCCCCTACTCCGAACCGTCACAGCTCACAGCTGCCACTCCTCTCATCGCATCTTCCAGGTGCCCCGGACGCTGGTCGGAGCCGACGCCTGGCGTTGGAGGGCTCGGAAGCTTGGGCGTCCCCCGTCGTCCGTGGTCTGTGAACCAGTCGCCGGCTGGCGAGGCGGTGGGAGACTGAGGTCCTTTTCGTTGGAGGACGAAGGTCTTCCTATGTGCTAAGCATCCGGTAGACTCCATGGGGTGAATTTGGAGCAGGTTCTCGAGGTGGACGAGCCGCATGGCGCGACGAGCGATGCGCGCGTCGAAGATCTGAACTTCTCGCGTGGTCTGAAGCGTCTTTCAATTCAGTCCATGGATCCCCTAGAAGTCCAAAGACTATATTTTGACCGGCTGAAGTAAAGGAAGTTCCCTTTCAGGTCCCCTAAAGACCATTCTTTTTGTAGTCTTTGACTCCCAGGGGATCACCAAGAGCTACAAAGATTTGGGGACTGCGCTAGCAAGACGCCTGTGCGGACTTTTCAAGTGAGTCACAGAAGGAACTAAGACTTGGCCAATAGATGCAAAAGGTGCAAAAGGCGCCAAAGGCTTGCCAAGAACCCCCCAAAAAAAATCACCCAGACACCCTGCAAAAAAAGGGAAGAAAGAAGAAGCACCTCATTGGTATCCAATCCCGATTTTTCGTTGGGGAACTCACTCACCCAAATCCAAGGGTCTTCGCAGCACGGCGACCGTCGACTGTCGCTCCGGTGCACCGGTGCTGGACCGGCTCGCTCTCTCTACCGAATGGTACCAAGTCACGACGCGGGACGATGGTCGTCACTCATCACATCGTCCTGTTCTCGTGGGTTGAAGGGAAAAAGTGGAGAACATCGCATAGGTTTGGAAGTCCAAAGACTATACTTTCCCTCAGGTGAAGTAAAGGAAATTCCCGGAAACAGACCTCAACCTAGAGGACCATTCGACCATTCTTTGTATAGTCTTGGACTCGCAGGGCATAGGTTTGTTCTGTGAACAAAAAACGAGGTTCCGATTTCGAAACTCCCTTCCGTCCTGAGAACTGCCTCCCAGCCGAACACTGGCGGCCGCCCTCGCAACTGGCGGACCGTGCAAACACAGCGGACCTCGCAACTGGCCAAACGCGGCATGCCGGGCGGAGCCTGCAACCTGAGCGCGGGCGGAGAGGCACCGAAAATGAAGAGAATAGAACCAGACATGGTCAGGTCCACCTACCAGAGTCAACCAGGGGTTCCAGGTGCCATGACCGGCCCAGCTGGGCTTCCCATAGAATTCTCTCAACCGAGACTCTGCAATCCGAGGCTCTTCGTGAAAGAACGTTCCCCACCGGTTTCGTGAACCAGGTCCCAGCCGGCCTAAAGAAAGGATGACAAGGATGACAAGATGTTGCAAGGTGATCAGTTAAAGCTCCACTGGAACTTCGGACCAAGCTCTGGTCCACTCCATGAGACGAGGTCACCGGGTCGACCCGTTGCTCCCAGTGTTTCCTTGGCCCCCACACCGCCCAGTGATGGGTTCAGTGACCAGCTGCCCAGCAGCAGAGCTACTCCGGTGCATCACCTAAGCGCTTCACCGCCCGCGATCCGCAGGACGTCGCCGAAAAGACTGCGGACCAAGGGAAACGAAGTCTTGATGAAGTTATACTCACGTTCATCAATTTGTTGTTCTATTTCATGATATGCGCAAAAGAAAAACACATGTATATACACGTCGAAAAACGGACCGTGTAGTCCCAAAAGTGGTCTAGTAATTACGTACCTTCGACCAGGGGACAGTGAAAGAAAAGACAAAGGAATAGAAAAAAAAACATCTAATTCGAACTGCATCAAGAGAGATTCAATTTATAAAGGAAAAGAACTCATTCATGCTCCGCCCTCCCTGAACTCGGATTGAACGTCAGAACCCATCGCCGCGCCGTGAGACCGGCGTGAACGAGCTCGGAGACCACACGGTTTTCGCGGGAACTGGAGGAGTCTGCACGATGTAGGACCTGGCACGAGGCGTGCGTGCGTTTGGATCCAAACGCCGTTTAACCGCCTCAAACGCCTGTAGGCACTGATGCCTTGACGTCAAACATGCGTACTTGAAGACCATGAGCTTTCTGTCTTTCTTTGAGACATGTGTTATAAAAAAATGGTCCAACAAAATTCGGAAGAGAAGACATGTCTTAAATGCCTTGCACCTCGACGTTTTCCTTGTCGGTTTTTCGTGCATCGAGCCGCTCATGCTCACCGCAGATGCCTGTGGCTTGTGGGCACTGTGACGGGTTTGCCTGCCGCGGTGCAAGGAAAGCTGGATATGAAACATAATTACCAATCTCTATTCTAGGTAGTTTAGGACGGTGAGTCCTATGAGAAAAGACGTCCAAATGCACAGTTTGCTGCTGAATGGCCAGGAATCTCACCTCCTTGGGATGTTGGAATATCTGGGAATAGATTCAAACAGGGAGACCTCCCAGGCAACGACCCCGAGAAATAGATAGATCCGTCTACCCTTTGGCAGGTCAAATCATCCATCCATCCTGTACCTGGCCCTTCTTGGAGCGGTGGTGGTGGTGTAAACCACCCGGTCCAACCAGCGAAGTTGGTGGGTTGTGAGCCACCTCGGACCATCTGGACCAGTTCTCGTCCACCCCTGGGACCGGTTTCCGAGAACTCCGCACCGAGGTGGACGAGAGTGACGAGACCCGATGCCTGAGGTAGAACAAACCCAAAATTCCCAATCCACTGGATCGAACTTAATCCACCTTAATCCAAACCCTGAATCCAATCCTTAATCCAAGTTCCACCTTAATCCAATCCTTCCAACACTGAATCATACTGAATCCTACCCCCAAATGCTCAACCCTTCGGCCGCGGCCTGCGCGACTATAGAGGGGCAGCGGAGCGATGTGGCGACTGCCGGGACGGCCGCGATTCGGCCGCGATTCGGCCGGGGACGGCCGGGACGTCTCTTTGGCATTTGCCAACTCTGGGGTTCGACGTACGACCCGACGTGGGTGAGGCTCCATTCAATGCTGGACAGGTCGGCAGGTCCACCTGGAAAAAAGAAAAAATACAACAGCGATTCGATCTGCTTGGTGCCCGATCCGAAGATGAAAACTGGAGTCCAGACCTTTTTCGGCTTTTCGGGGATGGAGTCTATGTCTCATCGGCTATGGACGTCATCCTGGAACTCCCTTAAGGACCGGTCGGGTGGCACCTTCTTCGGTGATGTCTTGACCGGTCGGGTGCGCTGCTGGGTGTGAACGCATGGCGAAAAAACCCACCAAGTTGGGTTTTTTTTTTTGCGGATGTTTGGGCGTTGGCTTTTTGGTCAAAAATTGCTACGAACATGTAAATGTTTGATCGCAAGCTTCTTCTTTGTTTGGTGATTGGTTGGGTGCTGGACACGACAAATTGAGTGGTTGGTTGGTTGTTCTGGTCTTCAAGTTTTGTGATTCCTTGGATTTTCCAGTTTGGTGATTGGTTGAGTGCTCTCATCAAGTTTGGTTGGACTCTGGTCTTCAAGGTTGGTGGTGGTTGGCTGCAAGTTCGGCAATTCGTTGGTGCTCAAGTTTGGTAATTCGGGTGGTGCATTGGTCTTCAAGTTGGCACATTTATAGTCGCACGCTAGCCTATGTTCTGTGTCAAAAAAGAGATGCACTAAATTGAAACCAACAAGACTGCACTTGTTTTCCATCCAAAAGGTTAAGTTGCTGAAAGGATACAACTTGAGGCCAGGGGGAGAGGTCGAAAGCTAGCCGAATCGCACCGGATGTACTAGTTACATAGTCGGCAAAGCATGTAGGGATTACATGTTTTGGGAGGAAGGTTGCTATGTACATACTTTGCGCTAAAGAATGTAAATGTGACATCGCTGACTGGGAAGGGTACATTGGAACAACCCGGGTGCACTCGTTGGCAGGCACGAAGATGCGTGATCGGCAAATCTGGGGGGTAAATTTACCCTCCGCTTTTGTATGCCTTGAGTCGGAAAGAGGGGTAAGCATTTCTGACATCATACGGACTGTACATACACTAGGGCGTCCGTAGTGTAGGAGAAGCACGGGTAAAAGGTATATGGAATAGAGTGTCTTGAGGAAATAGCCGGTGTATGGTTATTGCAAATCTGGGGGGTAAATTTACCCCCCGCTTATGTATGCCTTGTGCTGGAAAGAGGGGTAGGCATTTCTGGCATCACAAGGACTGTGCATACACTAGTGCGTCCGTAGTGTAGGATAAGCACTGGTAAAAGGTATAAGGAGTAGAGTGTCTTGAGGAAATAGCCGGCTTATGGTTATTGCAAATCTGGGGGGTAAATTTACCCCCCGCTTATGTATGCCTTGAGCCGGAACGAGGGGTAAGCATCACAAGGACTGTGCATACACTAGGGCGTCCGTAGTGTAGGATAAGCACTGGTAAAAGGTATCAAGAATAGAGTGTCTTGAGGAAATAGCCGGTGTATGGTTATAGCAAGCCTGGGGGGTAAATTTACCACCCGCTTATGCATGCATTAGGTTAGAAATAGGGGTAAACAACTTGTAACGGTGAAGTACAAGTCCTATGCAGCAAGCAGCAGCCAGCAGCAGCAGCAGCAGCAGCCGCCTGCAGCCAGCAGCCAGCAGCAACCACCAACCAGCAGCCAGCCAGCAGCACCACGCAGCAGCAGCGCAGCATCAAGCCGCAGCAGCAGCAGCAGCACCACCGGCAGCAAGCACCACCGGCAGCAAGCACCACCGGCAGCAAGCAGCAAGCAGCAGCAGCAAGCAGCAAGCAGCAAGCAGCAGTAGCAGCGGCGTCGTCAGCCGCAACAAGTAGCAAAGCAGCAGCTACAAAAGCGGCAACCAGCGGCAGCAGCAAACAGCAGCAGCAAGCAGCAGAGCGGCAGCAGCAGCAGCACCCTTTACACCAAGCCACCGTTTACACCCAACCAACCACGTTCAACCAACCCCCTACACGGCGCAGCTGGGAGTTGAACCGCGGGGGGGGGGGGTGAAAGAGTGACTAGGGCGTACACGGTAGAGGTGCAGACCACTAGTGTCTTTTATGCGCAGAGTCTTATCCTCTTGCTCTTTGAGCCTTGAAGCAGTCAAGTATGGACACACTATATCGGCTGTTGGAGTGGAACCCTGTACAGGTAGGCTCTACTTTTCAGCAGGCACAAGATTCATGTCCACTCCTAGCTGATTGCGTATGTCGCACACTCTTTTTCTACTGCAAGGCTAAAACAGTCCAGCTAGCTCTAGCAACTTAAAAGAAAACTACGGTGCCATGTACTTACCTAATCCAGTGTGTTTCACACTATAGAGAAGGTAATCTCAAAGCTACTAAATACAGTGAGGGAGCAATAGCTGACTCACCTCAAGTACAAAATCAAAACGATAATGTACCTCGGCTGGAGACTGTATTTTTCACAGGCGGAGATACCATGTACCGGCGCTCACTAGCTCTTTATGGCCTGAGCTAAATCAAACTAAAAAGGGAAAGCGGCTTTTTCTCTACAGAGACCTATAAAAGAATCAAACGACACTCGCGTAACGAAGAACTAAAAATTCAAGACCGCACAAATTGCAATGAATTACGATGCCTTGCAAAATGCAAGGAGCGTCAACTTTCGGTCCGATGAATGGTCTTCTCGAAAAATGGTCTCGGCCGCTTCCACACACAGAACTTAAATAAAAAATGGAACTGCATCAAAAGGACTCTTTCTCATTGACATCAAAACACAAGGAAGGAGACACCGGCAAATGTATGTACAAAACTTGCACTACAAATGCAAACTTATGAAATGACTTAATCATCAACCATGAATGGTTGTCCATTAGAGGTCACCTCAGAAAAAGCGGCTGTGATAGATATCATCAGTTATGCAAAACTGTCCATACCTATCTGCATGCTAAAGCGTATAAACCTGGAATGCAGGAGTATCTTCTTTGACAAAAAGTTTCTCCTTGTTGTAAACCAGAGTTCATTAAAACTTCAGCCTGGCAACTTAAAGTCAAGCTTGGAAGCAAAGTATCAACTGTGATCAGAAGTATCTTCACTTCCTAGCTATCATTAAAAGTTAGCTTCCGCTCTGAGTTTCATGCCGCTGCAGTCGATGAAGCTGCTTGATCAGAAGTTGGCGGCCTACCTTTCCTTTTATTCTCTTTCTGTTTCTCCTTCCTCCGCAGTTTCGCCTCATGAAGAGTTGCTCCCATGCGATACTGTCTTCTGTCTCCAGATGAAGAGGAAGCTGGTCTGAGTGAAATAAACATTGGACCATGACTGTCCTCGTCAGTGGGCCTTGAGCACATAACCTCTGTGTCAATCATAGCAAAGTTCTCTGAAAAATTACAGATGAACTCCTTCGTGCTCACTGTGGAATTTTCATATTCCTCTTCACTCATCGAATGACCCCATTCAACAATGGTAGACAAACATGTATCGCCAAGCTGTGATCCTTGGTATTCTTCTTTTTCAACAGTAGAATATTCTTCCCAGAGTTTATCAAAGTAAACTTCACACTTCTTGAGGACCTGTGAAGTTGAACTGTAAAATGTTCTGGGAATAGGTGCTTTGATACCAGGATCTGCTTTTACACGAGCTTCTGAAAATCTGCGGATCCAATGCTGCATGGTGCTGTAATAATAGTTAGCCATTGGCTGCCTTTTGTACCCAGACATTCTGTAGGCCAAACTATTTGCATCACCAGAAATGATGTCCACCTCATAGACAAAACACTCATAAAGCATCAATGCTGTCTGTTCTCCTGTCAGTAGGTGGGCATCCACAGCACGGTGTGTATCAACATGATAATTACAGACTCTGATGGTATGCATGTTCGCTCTAGTAAGTGGAACACGCTTGTCCTCAGGACCATAGTCATCAAATTCAAAGTCTGCATCCTTGAAATCTTGACGAGGCCTTGTTTCTCCAAAACAAATCTCGTAGATAGCCCAAGTTACATCACGCTGTTCACAGTGACCAAGTTCTTGATCATGTCCAGCAATGATCTTGACATATCCACCTGGTGCCAATCTAGCCATCACTGCAAGATTCTCCCAATCATTGAAACAAACTGTCCAATTCTTTTGCTCAATGAATTCCTTGGCAGGAACAAGAAGATGAGCTTCCTGGAGAATCACGACATGTGCACGTAAAAAGAAGAGCATATTGAAGAAAAGGTTGTTCTCAAATTGCTCGTATTGAAGTGACATGGCGCTCTGTTTGCGTGGCCTCATGGCACTATCAAGTCCTTGGAGAAACCTTGGTGTGGTGTACTTCTGACCACGAACCATGTTGCCATAGT